GTAGTTGTAGTTGTAGTTCTAGTTGTTGTTGTTGTTGTCGTTGTCGTAGTAGTAGTAGTAGTAGTAGGAGGAGGAGGAGGAGGAGGAGGAGGATGGGTAGTAGCTTGATCCTTCCGTACGGTGCGGAGGGGAGCGTGATTCTGTTTCAGGGAGGGCTGAAGGGAAGGGGGCTTGCAAGCGAATAAGAGAAGCTGTCGCTCCTCAGATGTGATAGTCTGATAATAGTCCGTAAAGACTCCGGGAGCCAAGGTCCAGGCGTTCTTTAATAACAGCTCCAAAGCTGCATTTCCGGCCTCCATCGACCCCCAGGCTGAAGATTCCAACCAACCCCAACAAGGACATCCCGCAGCCTGGAATGCTTGCGAAATTCAGGCTTCCTCCTCTTGAATTTCTCAAACCTCCCAACAGGGCTGAAGCCCTGCCAGGCTAAGGAGCTCTTCCAGTTCGTCCAGCAGTCGGGAACCCAGCCGGAATTTTGCAGGTGCCGTTCAGGGTGCGTCAAGGTCTTGGCCCTGCCCCCATAGAGTTCCGGGCCTGAGCTTCATTGTGCATTCGTTGACCAGGCAAGAAACGTTTGAGGAATCGAAATCCCCGCCCCATGCACGTCGGACCTGTACCCGATGAAGGCTTTCAGACGGCCCTGCAGGTTATCCTGCTGCTCGGTGTTTCGGTTTCAGAGCCGGGGGTTTGAGCATGCCCTGCCGAGTGCATCTAAAACATAGCCAGTCATGGTCCACTTCAAAATGTGTCAGACACACTTGCAGAAGTCTCATGCATGTTGCTGGCATCATGTCGAGGCAACGACAAGCGGTTCTTGGCCTTTGAGGCGTGAAGATGTTCATCTCGGCCGGCAGGAACACATCCCCGACAAACCCTAAAGCTCCCCAATGCTATGGATCCCAGTAGCTTCCCCGATACTCGACGACACTGCCTGACCATTCGTTTCACTCTAGTAGGCAAGAGGCGGGCCAAGCCGCGTCTTCGCACCTTCGACACTAGATGGCTGCTGCGAGGCGTCTGTGAAATTGCAGAGCGCCGGACAGCTACCCCGACTCGCGGAAAAACCGGGCGTTCGAAGTGTCTGCTCCATCAGTTTACACAAAACTCATCTTTGCATAAGAAGCCTCGCCGAAACCCGACCGGCATGGCCCCAAATCCCCACTTACCCCCACCGCAAAACAGAGCGAGCGTCCCAGCTACGACCCCAACTCCCCCAGCCAAACTATCCCAATCCGAATCCAAAGCTACCGCCGCATTCTCAGCAAGTTTGAGCGTTTCGCGCCCCACTTACTTGATAAATTTTCGAACTGACCGTTCCCTGCTGTGCACCGGTCGTGCCTGCCACCAGTGGATGCAAGAAATCACAGGTTGCTGTCGGTGTTGTTTTCTCCCCGCTGGATTCGCTTTCGGGCTCACAGGCACAACAGCCAGCCTGAGAACACAGAAAATCCCACGGCGAGTGAGAAGGCTTGCTTTTCCACATGGTGCCTGTTTCACTCCTCAGCCTCTGATATCAGATAGCACCGTCCGGGATGATTCTGTCAACCACCTTGCACCCCAGCACAGCTCTCACTGATCAGAGAACAAGCCATCCTTTCAAGCACATGGTTTGCTTTGCCAGCTTGCCTTTGTCGTTTTCATGTGCATAGGCCAGGTCCCATTTGCAGAAGAGGCATCGTAGTTGCCGCTCCCTGATGTTTTCTGACGACGCCCGCGAATGGACACTTCATGTGAATGCGGCTGTGGACGGCGGGGTGATCTGCACAGTGAAAGCCTTGCCGTCAGACTCTGTGGCTGCAAAGAGTTAACGTAGCTATCCCGGCTATCCCAAGCAACTTATGTTGCTGCCCGCATACAGTCGAGAGTTACCTGCGGACAGCTTTGACTCATCCGGAAAGGATTCCCCAGCACCTCAGTGAGCCACGGCTTGAAAGCCCAGGACACAGTGATCTCCGTGCACCAGAAAGTCGTTGCCAAGCTGGGCAGCCATGCCTGCAATTGAGGGTCAGGATCGTCTCGTTTTGCCGAGTTTTCAGCAAGGCCCACTTTCGTCTAGCATATGCGGAGAGAAGCCTGCACACCGGAAACGGCCGTGATGCAGTTCACTCGTGAATGGGGAGGATGCACCTCCTACACAGCTTGCGCAGCACAGCCAAGGCTATGTTTCTCGATTTCGTTTGCTTGCTGGCTGCTGTATCCTCACTGGAGGGACGACTCTTGAAGCAGCTCGGCCGAAGATGAAGGCACAAAGGCACAACTCTGATGTGCTAGTTCTGCCGGGCAGCCAAGGCAGCCGGCCTTTGTGACAACTGCTCGCTGCAGCTGATTTGGCTACCCTCAGATGTGCTTGCTACAGCTTCCACCGACACTACGGCCGCTTTCTGGAGCATGGAGTCAGGAGACCGGGCTTTGGGACACGACCTTGACAAAGCCTCGCCGCACCTGGAAGCAACACGCGACACCCTGCGCAGTAGGAAACCTAGGGCTGTGCAGAGCTTGTGTTCTGACGGCAAAAAGCGAAATCTTTGACGAAGTCGTATTGCCACGGCTTCGCCACCCGATCTTAAGTGGCGGGGCCTCTTAGGGCCGAGGGCCGAGAGCAAAGAAATCCTGGCCTGATACTTTCTGTGCTCGTGGTAGTGTGCAGCGGGTGCAGCCACTTACTGTAGTTCAGATTTTCTGGCCGCAGCGGTGGGTCGCGTTTCGGATCTTCGATTTGGGGATATTTGCGTTCTTGCCCCCTTTTGCACCACTCGCCCAAATGTGCTCTTGCCACTTGCGGTCACTTTCGCCCTGTGTACGCGTGGCGGATGCGCCACATGTAGAAGACACGAGATGCAACGTTTCTGTTTCGGAAATCAATCCGGCCTTGACTTCTCACTTTGACTGATGGCAGCTTAAAGGCAGGGACTTCGAAACCCACGAAGCAACCCTGCAACCCGGTGCCCAGGAGAAAACATGCAGCTGTTCCAGGGCCACGATGACCAGGCAGCTAGCTTACGTCTAGTGTGCGGTGGAGGGGAAGTGTTTTGGAAAGAGCCTCACATTCGCAGACAAGACTGCTTGATTTTGGGAGTGGTCGTTCTCCAGGGCCTTGCCTCAACCAAGATGTTCAATTTGGATACCCGCGCACACATGGATCGACATGCGCAGGCATAGAAAGCTTGAGAAGACCTGCACACCCGCAATGTGGCGTGGACTCACAGACAAACAGACAGACAGACAGACAGACAGACAGACAACCAGCCAACCACCCAGCCAGCCAGCCAGCCAGCCAACCAACCAACCAACCAACCAACTAACCAACCAAGGAAGGAAGCAAGCAAGCAACCAACCAACCAACCAAGCCAGCAAGCACACAAACAAGAACACAACCAACACTCACACAACCACAAACAAACAAGCAGACAAACACACAAACAAACAAACAAACAAACAAACAAACAAACAAACACACACACACACGCACACACAAACAAACAAACAAACAAACAAACAAAAAATAAACAACCAACCAAACCAAACCAAACCCACATGACAAACAAACAAACAGACAGACAAACAGACAAACAGGCAAGCAAACAAGCAAACGAACAGACAGACAAACAAACAAACAGACTACCAAGCAAACAAAGAAAGAAACTCAGAAAAAAAACAAGCAAACAAGCAAACCAACCAACCAAACAAACAAACGAACAAACAGACACCGGTCTCGCGCGCTCGCACACGCACAAACCAACCAAGACAAGACAACACAAGCACACTAAGTCCTTATACATGTCACCATTTCAGCTGAATCCAGAGCCAAGTGGCTATAAGTCAAGATGTTACAAGTTCTGGCCATGTCTCCCAATCGGCAGCGATATCTACCAACCCCCTGGCAACACCACCAGCAGCACAAAAGCAAAACTGGTCCATCGTGAAACGGGATAGAGTTGTGGGCGGGTTTGGAACTATTTGGCCGTCGCCTGGCTGCGTTGTCGATCTGCTTCCACCGTGCTCTGATCTTCCCGGAAAGCCCAATACTCCTGAATTTCGGTGTACCGCTGGAAGAAGAGTGAAATTTGAAAGGAAGCATTTAGTAGCAGGTTGGGGGGGTTCGATCTATTCGGCTCTCTAATGATCACTGAGATCCGATATCCACACGTTAGACAACTGATGTTGGTGAATGGTACACAGAGCCTTTAATATGTCCGGGAGTTCAATCCTTTGCTTCTGCTTGTCCAGCGGCATGTTAGTCCTAACATGAGGTCATGTGGCTCTGCTTTTCAACGGACGGACAGCTTCTAGCTTCTTGGCTGCAGGCCGTGTCCGCGGAAGGCACCAGCTTCCGCAAAATCTACACAAGTTTCTCCTGAACTCAAACCTCCGATTCACTTAAAAGACCTCACAGAGGTCCCAATGGACCTCTGTCTCCCGCCCAGGCGACCGCCTCCACAGACCGTACCGCGAGAATTTGGCGACTTGGCGATGGAAGAGTTACGTACACGAAGTAAGTACAGCAGTCGCAAGAGCCCTCACTGCATAGCTTCGGTGCCCGAGAAAAGGGAGGCTGTTTTTCTGAACGCGTGATTTCCTCAAGTTGAATCATCAGCAGCTTTGACTTTCCCGAATAGTTTTTCCAAAGTTGCTTTGGGATCGAACATCGACACTCAGAATCAGCACGCGACATGCTTGAAAATTAAGATGACCCCGAAACAAGACACCGAAAAGACGTCTTTTCCAGATCATCGGATCAGGGCAAGAGGCTTGTGGTGGTCAGTCGGAAGGAAGGATGATCGGGGAGGGACGGGAGCACGGGGTCTTCAGCTCGAGGTGTGCAGACAGCGGTGAGTGCTTGGCCACGCTGCTCGGCCACAAGGGCCCCGTTTTCTCCGCTGCTCGGCTGCGAAAGCTCCGACCCAGCCTGATACACAGGAATACTTTGAATAGTTCCAAGGCAAACTTGTCGAGCTGCCGGCAGATGCACCTGTTTAGCCGACATTCCTTGCAGAAACCCAGATTCAGGAATCCCATTGAGCTTCTGGCTGACTCGTACACAGACTTCCCACCGAGATGGCAACGAGTTCGTCTTGCCAAAACCACCCACTGTCCCACCAAAGTCGCATGACATTTCTAAGGCAATGGAATCGTGATAAGGCTGATAAGGATCCGGAGACATGATTCAGTTTTCATAGAACCCTGCGAGCCAACGTCCGGTCAAGTTGAAGTTCAATACTTTTGAGCACAGCAACGACTGCCTTATCAGCCCCAACGACCTATTCACTCGGATTTAACCGGCATCCGAAAGCCATGCACACACCAAATTTGCCCCTTGCCGTCTAAAACTCAAGGTTTCCTGACGCACATGGTCGAGACATGTACAAATCAGCAGGTCATCGGGAGCACCTCATGCAGCGCAGATTCAGGTTTTCCAGGATGGCCGACGGCATGCTTGCGACGCCTGCGTTCACTGCCTTATGCACCCTCCAACTGTCAGGGGTCCTGCTTGCGTGGTTCCAATTTGAAAGTTGGTGTGAGCCTGGCTCGAATGTCCCCGTGTACAAAATTGCATGCACACAAACCGTTCCAACATGGCGCCCTGCCCACAATTCGTGACCGTTTGCAAAGCACCAGGGAACATCGCTTTTTTGTGTAGCGCTCGGCCGCTTCCGAAGGTTGCGTCAGGTGAAGAGCTGCGCGAGCCGCCGAATATGGAGCCAGGCGTGGGCACATGCTTGCAAACCACGACTCGGTACCTCTGGTCGTACTGCTGCAAAGCAGCACTAGGCAGTTGACTTGGAGGTCGTCAGGAGCGGTTTGGATCAGCCAAGAACCTGGCCTGCTGGAAGGCAACCGTGCGGCTTGCTGTGCGTGGAACCCCACCAGACACTTCCCAAACGGCGGCCCCAGCGTGTTCCCGCATGTAGACTGCGTCTTGCAGTGTTGGCACAGTCTAGTTGCTGTGCCCACAGGAATTGGGCCCCGTGTGCGCTCAAAAGTTCGCCCGCTTTCCCTATTTCGCTTCTTCACAGCTGCTCTGGGCTGCAGCTGCGTGTAGGCGTGCTGTGCCAACTTCATGTTTCACTGGCCACAGGCCGTTGCCTTTGACCCAGAGCGGATGTGCCTATTTGCGTTCCATTGAACATAGCTTGTGCCAGGTGGGATCGTTTGCCAGCCCAGCCGTCTGTGCTGGGTTGGCTTGATGGCTCGGATTGTCCGAAAATAATTCTGGGGGCCGAAAGCTTCCTCGTGATCTTCGGATTCGAGCAGTGCCGTCGCAATGAAGCAGTGAAGCACTCCAAAGGACAGGGCCGGCAAAGTTGCTGTCGGTTGGACTTGTCAACAATCAATACAAACTTTCGAGCTCACGCTGGACAAATGTCCGCCGCGGCATGCTTGGTGGTCGCAGCTTGCTTAGGCTTCTGTGGGCACGTGCGTATGTGTTTGTGTGTGTTGTGGGCTTGTCGCAGCATAGCTGCGCCCCACTTCTCATGTTCCGTCCTTTACAAATGAACAAACGGAACTCTGTATAAAACCGAACTGTTCCCCCTGCCCCGGTTCTCTGAGTTCCAAGATGGCCGAGAAAGGGAAAGTGACAACGACAGGAAGGCCACCCTGAATCTTCTTGCACTCATTGTGCAGGTTGTAAAAGCCCTGCGCATTTCAAGCGGATCCTGGGAATCATCATCTCTGATGGACAAAAGTGAAGATGGATGGCTCACCCTTTTCAGTTGAACAGTTCGGGAGGAAAAAATACACCCGCTCAAGGCCAGAGACTTGCACGGACACACTTGGCCATGATATTGCACAAGGACGAAAGTTCGTCGCATCGGGCAGTTCTGTTAACATGGACTTGTAAACCTTCTTCCCCCATAGACTCCTTCACGATGTGTGGATTTGAGGTGCGGACGTCAGCAATTCCTCCGAAGTAATATATATGGTTCAGAACGCGTAGAAATTCCTTCGCTGGCCGTGGGCCACGTAAACTGCACTTGCTGGTACTCCGAGTCGCCAAGCAAAGACATGCTATTGCGACAAAACTGTCATTCTGCTGACGTAGTCGGCTCTTTTGAAGACGTGCTCTACTGTAATTGCTCTTCTTGCGGATGTTGCAGTTTGCACAACTTCTGCATGCGAAACTGCTCGGATGCTATGGGGTTCCACCGTAGTTTTTGGCACTGTTTTAATTGAATATTGGTATCGCTCTTCTGAATTTTGGCTGTGCTGAACACATTTCAAGAGGCACATCTGCTACACAACACTGTGCATAAAGGAAAGATTCGCTGCGTCTGTTGTAGAGAGACGACGGTCCGAAGATTTATGAGTCACGCTCTTGCATCTGCACTAGCGTGACACCAAGCGTGCGAATCGCGATTGTTACAGTGCTCCATGCATGACCACTGCACAAGGAGAGCC